GGGGGGAGCTGGGGTAAGTGTTACAAAAGCAAGGGCCTGATTTCCCTCCCTGTTGGTTCCTTCAGTTCTTATCCCACCCCCTGGGGAAGGAGGAGAAAGAGAGAAGTCATAATTCCTCATTTCAGTAGACTTTATAGCTCCCAAGCCCTCTTGTACACATAAACAATTAGCCAGTTGTTTTAACAGACAACTGTTGGGCACCTACCATGTGCCAGACTCTTGCCAGTAGGAATGCAAACATTAATTTAAAATGCAGTTTTGTCCCCAAGGACTCAGGAGGAATTTGAGGAAAATAACATTTACAAAGCACTTTGTGATTTTCACAGAGATGCCACATACATGACCTCATTGGGTCCTCACAATAGCCCTCTGAGGTGGGGAGCACTCTCCCCATTTTACAGAGGAGGAAACCAAGGCTCAGAGAGGTAAAATAACTTGCTCAAGGTGGCGCAGCTAGGCAGTGGCAGAGTAGGGTTCTGAAACAAGGTCTACCTGATTCCAAAGCCTTTGGGTTCCTGGGAGTGGCAGGGGTGGGCTGCGTCCTGCAGAGGCTGATGTTAACCCTCCCCCCCCATCCCGGCAGGGCTCCTGGTGCAGCAGATCATCTTCTTTCTGGGGACCATGGCCCTGGCTTTCCTGGTGTTCATGCCCGTGCTCCACGGCAGGAACCTCCTACTCCTTCGATCGCTGGAGGCCTTGTGGTGAGAGAGGCAAGGGGCTGAGGGTTCTGAGACCCCTTCCCGGAGGACCACTAACAGTGACACCCTCCCACCCCACCCTCAGGCCCTTCTGGCTGACCTTGGCCCTGGCTGTGACCCTGCAGAACATGGCAGCTCACTGGGTCTTCCTGGAGGCTCTCCATGGATGGGCAGAGCTGACCAATCGGTGAGGCAGCTCCTGGGCTCTCTCAGGCCCCCAGCCTCTCCTCCTTCTGTGCCTCTCTCATTGTGCCCTTCTCCCTTTAAGGCCATCTCCCCTTTTTCTCTCAGGGAGCCCAGTGGGTAGTAAAGAGAGCTTGCTTTACCCATAAAGAAAGGGAAGGGCCGGCCAAGTGGCACAGTTGGTTATGAGCTCACTCAAGAGTGCGAGCTCTGAGCAACAGCGGTTCGAGTCCTGGCCTGAGCTGAGCAGCCGCTGAGCTACCAACAGGTGGCAGGATGGCTCAGCTTAAAAAAAAAAAAAAAGAAAGGGGACAGCAGTCCAGCCTAGTCCACATACCTCTCTGTTTACCTGTCATGGGGTCAGAAATACCCCATGAGCCTTTCCTGCTTTGAGGGTCAGCAGTACCCTCCCCTGGATCCTCTGTGCCCGCAAAACCATGTGCCTCCCTCTTTACAGGAAGGAGGTTAACAGAGACTCATTTCTGTGTTAGATCGCAAGGCTGTGGGAGGACCTCGGCCCCAGGAGGGACCCAGAGGAGGGAGGTGGAAGACACCAGGGTCACAGAAAGATCCAGGTAGACCTGGACTTAAACCCCAGCTCTACCACTGACTAGCTAGGCAGGCTCAGCTCAGTCACCTACCCTCTCTGGACCTCAGAGATTTTCCCTTCTGTAGAAAGGGTGACACTGCCTGTCTCCCAGGTGGCAGGGAGGGCCAGCTGGGTTCATAGAGAGTGGGCCCAGCGCGGGAAGGATGCATACAAGGTGTACTCAATAAACACTCAGCAACTATGGTCAGCTAGGTGTGTCCCTGACCCTGAGGAACGGGCTGTGTGGGGACCTGCCTCAGCCTTTCTCCTCCATCCCAGGCGCATGCTCTACGCAACCACCTTCTTTCTCTTCCCCATCAACGTGCTGGTGGGTGCCGTGGTGGCCGCCTGGCGAGTGCTCCTCTCTGCCCTCTATAATGCTGTTCACTTTGGCCAGATGGACCTCAGCCTGTTGCCACCTAGAGCCGCCACTCTCGACCCTGGTAAGGCCACAGGGTGGGGGCCAAGGAGGGATGGGTTGCTCAGGCTGCCCAAACAGTAAGGGAGGGTCTGCCCGGACCTGACCTACGTGCAGATCTGCTCACGGAGGGGGACTGGGACCACCACGTAGGTGTGTGTGGTGGGCCCACGTACTCGGGTGGCCATGTGCTCCCACATAGGGTGCCCAGGGCACCCTGTGTGTGTGTTAGGGCCTGTCTGGGGCCCTCCTGCCCCAGCACTGCCACCTCTCACCCACCCCAGGCTACCACACATACTGCAACTTCTTGAAGATTGAGGTCAGCCAGGGGCATCCAGCCATGATAGCCTTCTGTGCCCTGCTCCTGCGAACACAGAAGCACCGGCCCGCCTCAGCCCCCCAGGATGGCCTCAGACTCAGGGCGGAAGAAGAAGGTGCGCCTTCGCATGGGGGATGGGAGAACTGAGCCTTCCTAGCTTCTCCCAGGAAGCAGGCACGCCCCCCTAAACCCCAACACGCACCACTGACTGGGTGCCAGGAAAATGCTCCCTTCCTTTGTCCCTGGGCTTCCTGTAGGAGAGAGGAAGTGAGAATTTTCCTGGCCCATTCTGGTAATTTTTTCCATCTCTCTCTCTCACACACACACACACACTCTTTCTCTCTCACTCCACATGCATGTACACGCACACCCTCTCACACAGAAAATGAGATAGCCACTTTGCTAAGGGGCTCTGTCACGACCCTCACCCGAGGCCACCCCCACCTCTCCCTCTCAGGTGGTATGTCCTCCTCCTCCCCTTCCCACCTGCCCGAGAGGTGTGCAGTAGGGAGGGGGACACCAAGCTGTCCCTAAGCCCTTGTCCCAGCCCCACCTCCGGTCCTCTTTACAGAGCTCAGCCTCTCCCGCTTCTGTCTGCCACCCTCAAGGTGACATCCTAAACCTTTACAAACCCCCCTCTCAGTCCCGCACTTCTGCTGGCACCTGGAAACCCAGTCTCAACAGCCTCCCCACATACACAGGGGACTTCCAGACTCTGCTCGGGTCTGGGTGTGGGCGGACCCAATGGGCTGGGCTTGCTGAGTGACTCACAGAAGGTTTCCCCCTCGCAGGGATGCAGTTGCTACAGACCAAGGACCCTGTGGCCAAGGGAATGGGGCCCAGGACCAGCCATGGCAGGGCCCGCTGGGGTCTGGCCTACACGCTGCTGCACAACCCAGCCCTGCAGGCCTTCCGGAAGCGGGCCCTGTCAGGTGCCCAGGCCAATGGCGCCCAGTCCTGATGGTGAAGAAGGCCCAGCCACATGTTCTCTTCTGTCCTGGGTGCTTCTCCTCCTCCCAGCCCTTCCCTCCCGGCTCCCCCAGCATCACCCCAGCCATGTCAGCCTCTCAGCTTAGTACCAGCTCTGCCAGTAGGTCCCCTGGACCAGGGCCCCAGTGACTAGCCCCAGAGGCTAGAGATCGCCATGGCTGGGTGAAGGTCTGCCCACACTACAAGTCTCAGGAGGGCTCTAGTCTGCCCGCTTGGTCTTGGGAAGCCAGAGAGGGCTCTGGAGAAAGTAGCTGGTGGTTTAGGCCCTTGGTCCAGCAGCAGTGGAACCAGCGTGGAAACATGCAGGCCTCTCCCCATGCTGGCTCTGCTGCCAGGCTCCAGGGCCTTACCGAAGGCTTCTGCACACTGGCGTGGGCGACTCATGCTGGGACAGCTTCTTGCTCCAGCTCAGCCCCACCTCCGCCTCAGCCCTCACCACCTCTGTCCTACAGCTTCCCCCTCTCCTTTCTGGGGCCTCGGGGCCTGCAGGGCAGCCCGGGAGGAAACCGATGGGATCCTACAGCAACAAAGTCAGGGCTCACACCCGGCCCCACACCGAGTTGCCCACACTTGAGAACCTGATATTTTTGTAGTTGGTATGCCTTTCGATATTATGAAAGAGTTTAGTGTGCTCCTTGTAATAAACTTGTCCCTGACAAACAGTCCTCCTTAGGAGAGGGACACGTGGGAAAAACCATCCGTAAATCAACAAGGGGTGTATGGGGCTTGGGCGGGGGTGGGGTATTCTGGTCACATGCTGGGTTGGGCCCTCTGGGTGAGAGGGGCCGAGGAGACCCCCATAGCCACATCCCTCTTGGTGGTGGAGAGCCTGGGGACCCTATGATGCCACCCCTGAATCGTTTGGGCATTGGCTTTGGAAGTAGGACTTATTCTGGGTCCTCGAGAATGGGCAGGACTGGAGGAGCAGTGTGAATAAAGGTGCAGTAAAGGAGCTATCCTGATGGGAGCAGCCCGAGGATGCAGAGGGCACGGGCAGCCGGGCGGGCATCCCTGCTCCTGCTGGGGGCTGGTAGAGGTGGGGGACTGTGTGAGTGAGGGAGCGGGGTCCACTGTGAGGCTGGGGGCTATAGAGGAGGGGGAAAATGTGGCCACTCCACAGAACTGGGTCAGTGGGGCCTTGAGAAATGTCTGCGCAATTAGTGGAGACCAAGTCCCGCCCACTGCAGCCTCAAACACACATGAAGCCAGGGGTGGGGACAGGAGCTGGAACCCACCTTCAGGCTGCCTGTGAACAGGACAAAAAGGGCAGGCTCTGATCCCACTGTAGCCCGTTGAAGAATGTCATCCTGGCCCTGTGTTGGTGACTGACAGGGTCACAGGCATGAGAAGGTAGATCAGGTCTTAGCCCTTAATGAGGAAACAGTCACAATAGAGTGTGATCAGGCTGGGACACTGGATGCCCAGGGCTGTGAGAGACAGAGGAGGGGTCCTAGTCTTTCTGGAGGAGGTGATACCTGAGCGATTTCAGAGGCTGATTTAACCAAGTGAGGAGCAGGGGAAGGGTGTCCAGCGAGCGAACAGCATGAGTAAAGGTGCAGAGCATGACCCGTCACAGAACATTAAGAGAACAACTAATCAGCAGTTCCAGGAGAGGTGGGGAGGGGTGGGCCACATGGGAGAGCCAGTCAGAGGGGCCATGAATGGCAGACTCGGAACTCAGCGCTTCACTCCACGGCAGTGGGAGCCACAGATGACTTTAAAGTAGGGGAACAGCTAGTTCATTCAGAATACAGCTGTCCCCCAGCCGCCCCTGACTCAGGCCTTAGGCCCATGACCAAGAAGCCAGGCCTGCTTAGCTGTGAATGGAGCCAGAGACGTCAGGGGTCCAAGTCAGGTCAGGATTATCAAGCCTTAGGTAATCAGTCCACTAGACCCTTAAGCATTACCATGTACTACCCTATCCTTTGTTTTCTGAGGAAACTGAAGCCCAGAGATGGGCAGTGACTTACCGAAGGTGACACAGCACAGAGGCTCAGCTCCTGCTGCTTTCCACCAGATGTGCAGTCATCCTTGACATGTGCTGCTGGTGACATCTGCTCAGTGGGAGCTGTAAGCTGATGAGGGGGTTTGAGAGGTGCTGTTTTCAGACCAGAATAAGGGGGAAGGAGGCTGGCCAGCCTCCAAGGCTCACAGCTGCTATCCCAGGCTCCTTGGTCTCCCTGCTCTGCTTTGCTGGGTTCAGCAATCCTGAGGGCTCTGGGCAGAGGCAGCAGAGCCTCTCCCATGGATGGGGTCTTGTCCTATGAGTTCCTTCAATCTGGAAAGGGAAAGGGACAGAGGTGGTGGGGAGACACATCTGACCCAGCACAGATATAGGGTTCTACAGTTCCCAGATCCTGACCCCATCCACACGGTTCTTGTCCTAAGAGATCCGCAGGCTGCTGCCAGCCCCTCATCCCCCAAGTCAGTTATTGCTCCATCTGCTCTGTGGGTAAAGACTCCTACTGAAAGACGTTCCTTCAGGAATGTCATTTCCTCTTCCTGGAAAGGTGAGAGGAAGTACCTCCATTTCCTCTGGCTTCTCCCTCAAATCTGTTCTTAGTCTCCCTGGGTCTCCCTCCCTCCCTCCTCTCACCCCTATGTCCCGTGTCCCCTATCTTCCCTTTTCTCCCCCATCCATCCTTTTTTGCCTGTCTCCCCTTCCTTCTCCATTCCCTTACATCTCTTCCATGGACAGGACAGGGAAGGAGCCATAACCCAGAGCATCCGTTTCCCTCACCCCCCACCCCCCTGCAATGATGCCTCAGGCCCCTGTTGGCAGAAAGCACCACTCAGGGACCCCAGGGGAACCTCTGTAATGGTTGTCAAGCTAGTGCCCTCATTTGTCCCATGGGCCAGTTTGGGGGAAGGGAACATCTGCAGCTCAGTTCAGCTGGGCCACTCCTCCCATGCCACCCGCCTGCCACACAGTCATGTATGTGTCACAGGCCCTGTTCCATGTGGACAGGCAGGCTGGACACTTGACTCTCCAGACCGGACCTATCCCCCACCGGGTGGCTCCTAAATCAGACAACACTCCAGCCAGGTGCAGGGGAGCACTGGAAACGCCATTTATTTCTCTGCTGCCCCCAGGCTGGCTGGCCTCTTCTGAGTGGCAGGCTATAGACGCATACTTGGAGAGAAAGGCAGGGCAGGTGTCCAGGATGGAGAGGCACAGGCTGAGGGAGGAAGGATGAGAGGAGAGGAAGGCCATCCTGAACCATCAGTCCTGTCTGAGATGAGGGCAGAGACTCCAGAGCCCCCAAATCATCAGAAAACGCAAAGGAGCAGTGGAAGCTCAAGCAGGTCACAGAGAGCCTCAGAGCCACACCAGACACTGCCCCTCCACCCCATTCCTCTCTCCTGTGCCCTGTGTGCTGCAGGCTACCTCCTGGCCAGGCCCCCAGCCCCTAGCCTTCGCCAGCTGGTCAGTCCCAGTGCCTGGAATTCCATCAGTGAGGCTTCACCAGTGGTTATGGCGGTGCCCTGTTAGCACGCTGCCCCCACAAGGGAGCGTGGGCAACATGGTTAGCAGCAATGACACCGAAGGCGGTGAGTTATGGGATCAGATCTGTCCTTGTCACTAGCTTTGAGCAAGTCTAGAAGTTGAGATGGTGAGTGTTCCAGAAGGGGTGAGAAGGGGAGGTAGGAAGATGTATCCCCCATGCAGACCTTGGGAGTAGCCCAACCCAGGCCCCTGCAGGGACGTCACAGAGTCGGGGGAGGAGTCAGGGAGGCCCTGGGGCTGCTCCAGCCCAGCTGGGTGGGGTTTGAGGCTAGGAGGAAGCGAGGAAGAGGAGGAGGAGGCTCTGGCCCAGCAGGAGCAGGCCTAGGGGCTGCTGCCCGGAGACCCTGTTCCCCACTGCTGTAGCCTCGGAGCCCCTGGTATGGCTGAGGTAGATGATAACCACATTGTCCTCAGGACCCGACGGCTGCACCTCATTGTCAACTGTATAGCAGCCCTTGCCCTCAGCTGTTTTGCCATGGAGCCTGTGCCCCAGGGTGTCCTCGCCACTCTCGCCCGGTGTGGCCAGTGCCACGTTCACTGAGCTCTCTGCACTGCCCAGCTCGTTGGTGGCCAGGCAGCTGTAGGTGCCTTCCTCCAGCTTGCCAAAGTCAGGGATGAGCAGGCTGCCATTGGCGAAGGCTTTGAAGCGTGGCCAGCTGCTGGCTGCTGGGGAACCAGGCAGGGCATGCCCATCGGCACCCACGTTGGGGCTAGCGATCTCCACCATGCCTCCAGATGTCTGGATGTGCCAGTGAAGCTGGGGGGCCGGCTGCCCCTCCACATCACAGTGGAGCGCCAGCACGAAGCCAGGTTGCAGCTCGGCACCGTCTTGGCTGGGCTGGTAGGTGAGCTGCACCAAGGGCGCTGAGCACGGCAGTGGCAGCAGGCGGTTCAGCGGTGTGCCCTTGAGCACGTGGGGCGACGTGCAGGTGATTTTGTCCTGCTCCGGGATGGACACAGTCGTCGTGGTCAGGGCCCATGTCTTGAACCACATGATGCTGCAGGTACAGTCAAAAGGGTTGTCATTGATCTGCAGGTGGGACAGCAAGGTGAGTGGTGCAAAGGTGCCCTCGGCCAGTGTGTGCAAGTGATTATGGTTGAGCTGCAGCGAGCGCAGGGCACAAAGGCTGCGGAAGGCATCGTGAGGGATGAAGGTCAGCTCATTGCTGTCCATCTTGAGCAACTGGAGGGCGCTGAGGTTGTGCAGGTCACTCCAGGCAAAGTCAGAGATGAGGTTGTGGCTGAGGTCCAGGTTCTTGAGATGGCCCAGAGAAGCCAGGGCGCCAGCGGCCACCGTTCGGATCTCATTGTGTGCCAGCCACAGGGACTGCAGCAGGGGTACCTCCCTGAAGGCGCCCTCTGGCAAGCTGGGCAGCCGGTTGGCTGATAGGCTCAGTGTGGTCACATTGGCCGGGAAGTCCAGCGGCACGGCCTCCAGGTCACGGTAGGAACAGTCGATGATCTGGAAGCCACACTTCTCCCCACAGTCGCAGGGCTCAGGACAGGCCTGCCCCAGGCCCAGGAGGACCACCCAGCACAGCAAATGCAGCTCCTGCATCCTACCTCCTGCAGAGAAGGACATGCCGCGAGGTGACCCCAAGGACCCATGGAAGGTAGTCACCCCTCTCCAGACCCCAGCCCAGAGCTCTTCCTCATCAGAAGGCCCTGCCCCAAATAATCTAGCTAAGACCCAACATCACCTAACCCACCACCGCTATTCTACAGAAGGGGAAACTGAAGCCCACAGAAGGGCCAGGACTTGCCAGAGGTCATGCCGCCAGGAGGTGTAAAGGCAGGATGCAAGAGGACCCCAGCTCTTCTTCCGAAAGGAGTGCTCCTTGCCTCCACCAGCTCCTAGCTGACTTTATGACTTGAAATCTGTTTTCCAGCCGCCCCCTCCCCCAGCACTCTGCAGAACCTCCCTCCTGCCCTCCCACATCCTGGCTGCAGGCCCTCCCACTGGAGCCCCTATAGGTATGCTTTGCCCTGGCCCAGACAAGGCCCCTTGTGCAGTGCACGCCACCCCCATCCGCCCCACACACCCCCTCCTGCTTCTACTGCCCATGACCACAGCAGACACCAGACCCTTTCTACAGAATCACTCCTGCGGCCTGCTGTTCAAACTATGCCAGGCAGCTGCCTAGATAAACCCCACCAGAACACTAAGCTAACTTGGGGGAGGCTAACAGCTCAACCCAAATGCTGCTGGGATTCCAGGACTGCAGTTGTGGTTGTTCGAGGGGCAAATGCTCCCTGGACAGGTCCAAACAAGAAATTGTCCTAAGCACTTTGAGCCAACAGGAAAGTGCCTAGGGGGCCCCCGGGCCCAGCAGACCTCCCCCTCTTCCCACTGACCCTTGGAGCCTCCTCCCGCTGGCTTACCTTCAAACTACTCTTAGTCAAGTGGAGCCTCTCTTAAAATGGAACCAGAAAACAACAAAGGCCAGAGTTAGTACAGGACAGTCTGCAGGGCCAAGGGGGGAAGAGGAGGTGGCTGGAGGACGAGGCAGCCTGGTCCCTGCCCCACCTTCGGTTTGCGGTTGCACCTGGGAGCCAGTCCACCCTTTCCCTATGGGGTGCCTGGGACCAGCTGCTGAGAGGACGCTGCAGGAAGGGACCCGAGGCAGCCTACACTCCCTCCCTTCCAGCAAAACAACCGCTTCTCTACTGCAACAAGGACCTGTGTTTCATAAGTGACACCAGAAATTTCAAGGGGAAAAGATGCCAAAAAAACTTTTTTTCCCTCTCTCTCTCACTTTTAGCAGCTTCAGCTTCCTTAAAGGCACAGCACTAGCTGGACATGATCCAAGAAAAGATGGGCAGAAGGGTTTTTATGGTGGGAAGGGTGAGAAACTGAATCTCAAGGAAGGTAGGAAACTTCTAAGCTCACTTCAAACAAGAAAAAAAGGGGGACCATGCTCCATACTGGGGCCATATGAGCATCTATGTGTGTACATGTGTGTGCACGTTAGAGTGTGAATGTGACATCTCTGTGGGGATGAATTTGTGTGTGTGTTTGTGTGGATGTGGGTGTGAGACCGTGTGTGTGAATTTGCATGTGTTGGGGAATGTTTGAGTGTGTGTGTTTGAGCAGGTATGAGACTCTTTTGATGTGCTTGTGTGTGTGTGTCTGTGTGGGTGTGTGGGTGTTTGTATGTATATTTCAGTGTGAGTGTGTGTTTGTGTGTAGAACTGAGTGCATTTCTTCATCTGCGTGTCTGTGTGGGTGTGTGAGAATTTGTGTATTGGGCATGTGTGTGTATTTGTGTGCAGAAATATGTGTTTCTGTGTCCATGTGTCAGTGTGGGTATATGAGAGTTTGGATGTGTATTTGGGCATGTGTGTGTGTTTGAGTGTAGAAGTATGATCTCTGCATCCATGTGTCTGTGTGGGCATGATAACGCTTATCACTAATTCAATTCCCAACTCTCCCCCAGTTGGGTAAATCTCTGGACATAAGTAAACACGTCAAGTCCTATATCAGTTTTATCTCCTGGAAGAATTCGCTCCCTGAGCCTCTGACCTGCTCAGTTCCGTTTCTTCAGAGGCCCGCTGTGCCACAGGCTCGCGGGGATGGCCCACCTCCATTACTCAGGCTCCCTGCCACCTCTCTGGGGTTAGAGCTCTTGCTGCCTGGACCCCACAGCATCCCCTCCTTAGTTTACTCATTTTGGCGGTGGGGCAAAACTGCAATAGCCACCATATGAGAAGGTATCTTTTTCTTTTTAAAGATTTTTATTAAAATATAGCTAACATATTAGTTTCAGATGTACATCATAGTTATTCAACAGTACCTATCTGGCACTATACATAATTATTACCATATTATTGATTATATCCCCTATTTTACATCCCCATGACTATTTTATAATTACCAGTTTGTATTTCTTAATCCCTTCACCTTTTTCATCCTGCCCTTCACCCCCTCTCTCATCACCCCGATAGATCTAATACCCATCTGACACCATTCATAGTTATTACAATATTATTGACTATATTCTTTATGCTATAACCTACATCCCCATGACTACTTTGTTTTTTTTTTGTTTTTTTTAATGTTTTTTTTGTTTTTGTGGTTTTTTTTTTTTAGCTGAGCCATCCTGCTACCTGTTGGCAGCTCAGCGGCTGCTCAGCTTGGGCTGGCTCGAACCGCTGTTGCTCAGAGCTCAAACTCTTGAGCGAGCTCTTAACCAACTGAGCCACTCGGCCGGCCCTCCCCATGACTACTTTGTAACAACAAATTTGTGCTTCTTAATCCCTTTCCCTTTTTCAATCAACCCCAAACCACCTCTCATCTAGCAACCATCAAAATGTTCTCGGGCCAGCCGAGCGGCTGTTAGTTAAGAGTTGGCTTGGGAGCATGAGCTCTGAGCAGCAGGGCCACCGGTTCAGATCCCACATGGGAGCCAGTGATGCTGTGCCCTCTACAGCTAAGATGGTGAACAACAGTTCTACCTGGAGCTGGGCTGCTGTGAGTCGCCAGTGAAGGCGTAGGCTCCAGTGGACTACCGCAAGCTACCGTGAGTAGCTGGCAGCCAGCGTGAGCGGCTGGCAGCCCCAAGAGCTGCCATGAGTCACCGTGAGCGGCTGTCCAATGGCCGGCGACCGATCTGCCTCAGCTGGGAAGAGCCCAATGATCACAATACCAACATGGGCCAGTGAAGCAACATCCTCTACAACTAGACTGAAGAACAAAAGGACAGCAACTTGTCTGTTCCCCTTTCTCGATTCCCCAATGCTGTTCACCTCTTCCAATTCCCCAATAAAATCTTTTTTTAAAAAAATGTTCTCTGTGTCTATGAATGTGCTTCTGCTTTTTTATTTATTTCATTTTTTAGATTCCACTTATAAGTGAAATCATATGATATTTGTCTTTCATTGTCTGACTTACTACACTCAGCACAATACCCTCTATTTCCACTTACGTTGTCGCAGATGGCAAGATTTCATTCTTTTTTATGGCTGAGTACTATTCCATTGTATATATGTGCCACATCTTCTTTATCCATTCATCCATTCAGGGACATCCAGGTTGCCTTCACATCTTGGTTATTGTAAACAATGCTGCAATGAACATATAAATGAGGACATCCCCTCAAAGTAGTATTTTGGGTTTGTTTGGATAAATACCCAGAAGTATTACCAGGTCCTTCTTTGATTCTTTATTTATTTATTTATTTTAGATTTTATTGGGGAATTGGGGAAGGGGAACAGACAAGTTGCTGTCCTTGTGTTCTTCAGTCTAGTTGTGGAGGATGTTGTTTCACTGGCCCATGTTGGTATTATCATTGCGCTGTTCCCGGGTGAGGCGGATCGGTCGCCGGCCTCGGGACGGTTGCTCACGGCAGCTCTTGGCAGCTCATGCTGGCTGCCGGCTGCTCACTCTGGCTACAGGCCACACACAGTAGCTTATGGCAGCCCACTGCAGCAGGGGCTGCAGCCTTTGCTGTCGCCAGCAACTCACAGCAGCTCAGCTACAGGTCAAGCTGTTGTTCACCATCTTATCTGTAGAGGGCGCAGCGTCACTGGCCCTCATGTGGAATCCGAACTGGGGCCCTGCTGCTCAGAGCTGGCGTCCCAAGCTAGCTCTTAACCAATGCGCCACTTGACTGGCCCCTCTTTGATTCTTGGTATAGCCTTTGATTTAAAGTCTATTTTGTCTGGTGTAAGTATTGCTACCCCAGCTTTTTGTTTGTTTGTTTGTTTGTTTGTTTCCATTTTGATGAAATATCTTTTTCCATCCCTTTACTTTCAGTCTGTGTGTGTCTTTTGATCTGAAGTGAGTCTCTTGTAGGCAGCATAGGTAAGGGTCTTGTTTTCTTTTCCATTCAGTTCCTCTATCTTTTGTTTGGAGCATTTAATCCATTTGCATTGAAAGTAATTGTTGAGGGCCGGCTGAGTGGTGTGTTGGTTAAGAGCTGGCTTGGGATGCCAGAGGGCCCCGGTTCGGATCCCACATATGAGGGCCAGTGACACT